TTAGAGAGAAAAATTATGTTTTAATAACACATCTTTATGGATGTTAAATTCTATATTTGGTTGTCTTTAAATGTTTGTTTACCTAAGCTAGACAACTTGAGGTAAACTTCAGAGAAGTTGCACAATAGCTTGTTTAGACAATCTTGCCTTTGCCAGTCAGTCAGCCCCAGATATAAGGAGGACACTTCAGAAAATTGAAGGATTTGAAAAGAAGAATCTGACTGAGTTAGTGGGAATAGCAGAAATAGCAGCTGAGGACTATGGATCATGGTTGCGGGGGACAAGAGCTCTCTTACAGACTCTGGAGGAAAAAGGATATCAGGTGTCAGCAATGAAAGCACAGCTTTGTCAGAGCCATGCCACTTATTTTGGCTTTGATCTCCATGAGGGAGATTCTTGGGATGGTGGGCTACTGCAGGCTGTGGATACCTCGGTTCGCAGAGGGTGCCTGACCTCTCTACAAACTGACTAAGGGAGGACTCACTATGATAGAGTGGACAGCTGAGGCAGAAGGAGCATTTCAGGAATTACAAACAGCCTTACTGAGTGCCCCAGCATTGGCTATCCCAGATGTTACCAAGCCCTTCCACTTGTATGTGGATGAAAAGGCAGGGATGGCCAAAGGAGTCCTGACTCAGACTCTGGGGCCTTGGCAAAGGCCAGTAGCCCATCTTAGCAAGAAACTAGATCCAGTAGCAGCTGGGTTCCCCTCTTACCTCCTCATAATTTCTGCCACGGCCCTCCCGGTCAAGGATGCAAGTATATTTACAGAAATGGACTAAATTAGACTATGAAGGGGATTGGGCTAAGCCAGATACATCAGGACACTCATTTGAGGACACGAAAGCTTAAGGAGCTTATGGGCAAGCAGTTCCAGGTTTCTAAATTAGGGCGTATGGCTCAGGATGTGGTAGATAGATGGGCTCAATGTCAGGCGGTAAATGTGGGAGGAACTAGAATGGGAAGAGCGAAAAGAGAAAGAGGTAAGGAACCAGGAATTTATTGGGAAATAGATTTTACAGAGATGAAACTGGGAAAATATGGACACAAGTATATGTTAGTTTTTGTGGATACTTTTCCAGGCTGGGTAGAGGCTTTTTCTGCCAAACATGAGACAACAGGAGTGGTAGCCAAAAAACTACTAGAGGTTTGGGTTACCTCTCGCGATCAGTCAGACAATGGCCCTACATTTGTGAGTTCAATCTCACAGGCATTGGCCAAGGCCATGGGCACTAATTGGAAAATACATTGTGCCTACCGACCCCAGAGCTCCGGGCAAATAGAGAGAATGAACCAGACTCTTAAAGAGACCTTGACAAAGTTAATTCTGGAGACTGGCGGTGGATGGGTGGATCTCCTTCCTTTCTCCCTCCTCGGGGCACGATGTACACCCTACGTAAACAAGGTGACCCCATTTGAAATAATGTTCAGGAGACCCCCCCCCTCCCCGGCTCTGCCCTGGGCTACAAGAGGTTGCCCTAGCAGAAATGATTGATCAATCTGTACTCCAGTCACTATAGGAGTTGCAATCTGTCTTGGAAGGAGCAAGTGCAGGGATCCGAACTGCCCACACTGGGATGGAGACGGGAGGTGGAACCACATCCTTACCAACCCAGGGACTTGGTTTGGATACGCCACCACCAAGTGGGAAACTTGGAGCCTCGCTGGAAGGGACCATTTGCTGTCATCCCAGCCACCCCCACGGCGGTGGAAGTTGAGGGATTTGGGGCCTGGATTCGCGCGGGTCACATCAAACGAGCTGAGGATGAGGATGCCCCCCAGAGATGGGTGTCACTGCCGATGGACCCCGCCAATCTTGGACTACAGCTAAGACTCAAAAAAACAATGAGTTAATTAAGTTCATTGTTGCTCCTATTGTTAAGGTATAGGTGGGAGATATAGACAATTGCAAAATAGAAGAAGGCTTGACATACTATTTCTAGAAAAGGGGGGCTCTGCTTAGCCCTAGGATAGAAATGCTGTTTCTGGGTAAATCACACTGGAGTCATTAAAGACAGTCTGGCAAACGAGGACATAGAACTGGCTGAAAAGTCAAAGATTTGACTAATTTCCAAAGAAAAGGGGGGAATGTAAGGGCCTATTTAGCCAGAGTGATTCCATCTTGGATTAAACAGTCATTTTATTGTTTATGCAGTAAAACTTAAACTGATCCTGTCCCCCCCACACACAGGGGACTTACTTAAAGGCAAGCCTGGGAAACCAGTCCCAGATAACAAAGCCCAAATACAAGGGTGGGTCAGGCCAGGTGGAGGTATCCAATCAGTGGGGGCGTGTACTGTCTCCCTAGCTACCAAGGAGTGGGTCCCGCCTTTTGGGCGCCAATTCTGACCAAGGTGATAGGCTAGTTCAAATATCTACTATAGGGTAAATTGTAATTCAAGTGGTCACTTATGTGTGACCTAGCAGGACTGTGCAGCTTTCTCTGTGTGTTACAATCTCATTGGCCACCTGTGTGTGGCCAGGCCCAACCACATGGCCTTTGCCCTTAAAAGCTAGTCTGTAAGGCAGAGAGAGGTCACCTCTTTGTAAGGGGTGGCCCCGGCCGGTCGGTTTGATTCTTGATGCTTGGAGAGAAATAAAGCTTTGCTTGACGTTTGCTTTGTATCAGCCTCGCTTCTTTCATCACGGACCCATTAGTGGGGGACCTTTCAGTAATAATTCCCCATTCCCCTCCCCAGGCCCTGGAAACCTCTCTTCTTTCTGTGTTTTGAATTGGCCTATTCTTGATGCCTCATATGTATGCAATCATATAACATTTTCCACTTTTTGAGTGGCTTAAGTCTGCTGGCATAATTTTTTTTTACTTAAACTTTATTTTTTCAGTGTTCCAAGATTCCTTGTTTATGCACCACACCCAGTGCTCCATGCAATAAGTGCTCTCCTTAATACCCACCACCAGGCTCACCCAACCCCCCACACCCCTCACCTCCAAAACCCCGAGTTTGTTTCTCAGAGTCCACAGTCTCTCATGGTTCCTCTCCCCCTCCTATTTCCCCCAACTCCCTTCTCTCCTTCCCCCAATGTCCTCCGTGTTATTCCTTATGCTCCACAAATAAGTGAGACCATATGGTAATTGACTTTTCTCTGCTTGATTTATTTCACTCAGCATAATCTCCTCCAGTCTGATCCATGTTGATACAAAAGTTGGGTATTCATTCTTTCTGATGGAGGCATAATACTCCATAGTATATATGGACCATATCTTCTTTATCCATTCGTCTGTTGAAGGGCAGTTTGGCTCTTTCCACAGTTTGGTGACTGCGGCCATTGCTGCTATGTACATTGGGGCCCTTCTTTTCACTTCATCTACCTGGCATAATTTTCTTTAAAGATTTATTTATTCATTCGAGAGAGAGAGAACGTGCAAGCATGAGTAGGGGGAGCGGTAAAGGGAGAGAATCCATGACCCATGAGACCATGACCTGAGCTGAAACCAAGGGTCACATGCTTAACCAATTGAGCCACCCAGGTGCCCCCCGGAATAATGTTTTTTTTTTCTTTAAAAAAAAAAGATTTTATTAATTATTTATTTGATAGAGAGATAGAGCACAAGCGAGGCAGGGGTGTGGGGTGGGGGGAGGCGAGGGAGGAGTGGCAGAGGGAGGCTTGATCCCAGGACCCAGGGATTATGACTTGAGCAAAAGGTGGATGCTTCACCAACTGAGCTGCCCAGGCACCCCTGGCATAATGCTTTCAAGGTTCATGTAACATGGTCAGAACTTAATTCCTTTTCAATTTCCTTTTTTTCCTCCTTTAAATTGTGATATAATACATATAACATAAAACCTACCATCTTAACAGTTTTTTTTAAATTTTTTTAAAAGGATTTTATTTGTCAGAGAGAGAGAGAGATGGCACAAGCAGGGGGAGCTGCAGGCAGAGCAGGCAGAGCGAGAAGCAGACACCCTGCCAAGCAAGGAGCCCCAAGCCAGCTCCATCCCAGGAGCCTGGGATCACAACCCAGACAGAAAGGCAGAGGCTTGATTGACTGAGCCACCCAGATGTCCCCCATCTTAACAGTTCTCAGTACATTTGCACTGTTGTGCAACCAATCTTCACAACTCTTTGTCTTGCCAAACAGAAACTGTGTCCGTTAAACATTAACTCCCCATTTCCCCTCCCGCAGATCCGATCCTGATGCCCACCATATATACTCTCTATCTCTATAAATTTGGCTTCTTTAGGGACTTCATATATGTGCAAACCATACAATATTTTCCCTTCTGTATCTGGCTTGCTGCACTTAGCATGACGTTCTCTAGGTTCGCCTATGTTACAGCAGGTGTCAGAATGTCCTTCCTTTTGCGGGCTGAACAGTAGTGCGTGGCTAGTGTGCCCCACATTGTTTCTCAGTCAGTCCCTCCAGAGATACTTGGGTGGCCCAACTGGCCACAGCCTACAGAATAGGGCATCACCAAATGCCCTCCATGGTGGAGCAGAGGAGGGAGAGAGAGGGGAGTAAGGAGAGGATGAAGAGCAGAAGGAGGGGAGGTGGATGGAAGGGACCAGGACGGAGGACAGAAAGGGGGTGGGGGTAAGGGGAGGGAAGGGCAGATGGGGATGCAGGGTACTGGGAGGGAGGACGAAGCGGGAGTGGGAGGAGGATGGAGGCAGGTGGGGAAGGGAGGGCGCGGGGAGAACAGGAGGAGGAGGGCGGGAAGGGGAGGGAGGAGGGGTAGGGGCACGCACCGCGCTGGGCGGCCCCAACCCTAGGCTGCTCTGCCCCCACCTGGCCCCGCCTCCAGGCGCGCCCCTCCCCATGGCCTGCTGGGAGACGTGGTCTAGAGCCGCTCAGGAAGCCCGACTCGGAGTCCCAGAGACCCCCGCGACACCGCCCTGCCCCGAGGTTTAGCGGGAGTTGTAGTCCAGCGCCCGCAGACACCCGAACCCGGATTGAGCGGTGGGACTCGGTGTCCCAGAGAACCCCGCACCAAGTCACGTCATCGCGCACCGCTCTTGCCGTGGACGCCGCTGGGCTTTCTCCGGCCGCCGCCGCCACTGCCACTGCTTCGCGGGGTAGAGGGCCCGGGTGTCCTCGGGCGAGAGGAGGCTGCGGGTGGGAGCCTTCGCGGGCACTGAGGAGCGGGCCGGGGGAGGCCGGGATGGAGCCCCCCGGAGGTGGGCGCGCTGCCGGGTGGGCCCGCGCCTGGGGCGGTTGAGTAGGGGGCCGGGCGGTGGGAGAGGGTCGGGCAGTAGGGACCGTGGGGCGGGTGGACGGTGCTGAGGGACCCTGGGCGGGGCTGGTGGGGGGGGCCGGGCGCGGGAGGGGCGGGGTTCGGGTGGGGTAGGGCGCTGAGGGCGGGGCTCAGCCGTAGCGGGCGTCCGGGGGCCCCGGCACGCGGCCCTGGGTGGGGCACAGCGGGCCCGGTGGGTGAGGCCCTCAAGGGGCGACATGGGTGGGGGCGCCTGGCCAGGGGAAGCCCCGTGCGTCCCAGTGGAACGTGGAGCGGACCTGCTCTCCTTCCAGTTGACTGAAGCGAGGAAGCCGGGTTCCAGAGTCTCCAGGCGGGACCTCGGGGCGTCCTGGGGCCGCCACGGATGGTCTGAGGGCATCGCAGACATGGCTCACCTCAGGGGATTTGCCAACCAGGTAAGAATTGGGTTTCTGGGGAGCGAGAGGCCCGCCCGAACTCACAGAGACAGGAGCACTGGCCAGCATTTGTGTCACTAAGGGGTGTCTCTCCTGAAACTCGTCCTGGGGTTTCCAAAGCGCGGGGCCCGCAAAGGAGAGGGTCCAAAGGGCAGACGTTGGTCGGGGCCCGGGTGATGCACATCCCCGGGCCGGGGAGCCGTCGAGGGGGGGGCACAGACTTGTGGAAGCAGCTCCCGTGGAGGACCGTGGAGTGCCTGCAGAGCCTTATCTCAGGCGCAGGTCTGGGCCGCTGAGGCGGGACTCCTTGGGAACATGGATCTTCCCATTGGGAGGGTCTTGGAAGGTCGGGGTCCACACTAGACCATGTGACTGGACCAAGGTGGCCACATTTGGCTGGGGCAGAGGCTGGGGGGACTCCTTGTGAACAGGCAGGCAGGAGCTGGGATGTGACTGAGTAGCATTATGCGGAGCCGAGAGTCTCTCTTGAGGGGGATGAGAGTGCTGCTGGGAAGAACCTGTGTCACCTGGGCTGGAAGTCTTTTTTTTTTTTTTTAAGATTTTTTATTTATTTATTTGACAGACAGAGATCACAAGTAGGCAGAAAGGCAGGCAGAGAGAGAGGAAGGGAAGCAGGCTCCCTGCCGAGGAGAGAGCCCCATGCAGGGCTTGATGCGGGGCTCGATCCCAGGACCCAGAGATTATGGCCTGAGCCGAAGACAACAGCTTAACCCACTGAGCCACCCAGGCACCCCCTGGGCTGGAAGTCTTGCACGGCGCGCGGGGGGGGGGGGGGGGGGGGGAGTGCCTGCTGTGCATCGTTTCTGATTGATCATTCCTGCCCTTCCCCACCCCAAGCCTCCTGGAGGTGTGGCCTTACATGTTAACCTGCTGACCCCAGGGGGCCTTCCGTGGTGTGCCCTGAGTGTACGTGGAGCGAGTACCCGCTGCTGGCGGTGGGAGGGTAGGGTCGGGGCGGCCAGCATGGGGGCTGGTCATCTGTGCCCCCTCCTGTTACTTCGAAACAAGCGTAAGCTGAGGCTGACGTGAAGTCGAGGAAACCACTCCGACAGCCGGGTTTTCTTCTGTGCTTGGCTCTGTTCTCCTTGAAGAGTTGTCTTGGGCAAGGTTTAGGTATACTGCTGGGGTTGGGGTGGTCAGCACCCTTTGCTTCCCTCTGAGTGCTGAATGTGGGGGTGGGGGTGGCGGGGGACTGGGACGAGGGAGGAGCAGGAGGCCTATGGACCGGACTTGGGGGAAGAGGAGCCAGAGAGGGGCTCAGCTCTAGACCCAGGGTTGAGCAGGGCATCCTGGACCAGCACATGGGGACCGGGCCTTGCTGACCCATGCTCAGCAAAGCTAGCAAGTTCTTCGTTCGTTTTGACACTGGTGTCTGGTAAACCACATGCCTGTGACACTGGAGGAAAGTCGGCCTCCAGCTTGTTTTTGAGAGCATAGGACAGAGTTGCACCCGGACTCAGCCTAGTCCTGGTTCTGGTGAGTGACAGGAGCTTTGGGGAAGGCACCTGGGGAGGGAGTGGGGCATGTGCTGAGTGACTTCGTCAAGCCCCACCTTGTAACTCCCACCACTATTGTTCCCACCTCCACATGATGCCACGCGACCACGTGTCATGGGCTCTGGGATTTATTTCCATACTTCAGATGCAGAGGTGCTGACTAGAAAAAAAAATTGAGTTGGAAAAAAAAAACTCACTTACATGACACTTAAGCATCCAGGACACATTAATAGGGCGTTAGAGTCCGTCACTCCTTGTGCTAAGCCTTTTACGTGTTTTATCTTCTGTAATTCCTCCAGCACCCTTATCACACAGGGGCTCTTGTTACCCTAGATTTAAAAACTTGATGCTTAGAAATGTTCGTTGGCTAAAAAGTGATAGATTGAGGCTTCAAATCCAAGTCTGTGTGGGGCTGAAGCTCTCAGTTGTCCCGTAATCAGATGGCAGGATCTGTCTTCAAGGCTTCATTTCTTCTGGAAGTGGAACAGAAATATCCTTTACCATTCTTATTTTCCTCCTTGGAATACAGCAAGAAAAAAAATGCTGTGGGAGTAGTTCCCGTGGGTCCCAGGATGAGAAATCGGAGCTGTGAGCCACATCTGTCCCTGTGGGCCGATGGTGCTTGGTGTCAGGGCTGGGCGGCCAGGTCACACCTGCTGCCGGGGTGTAGGCGGGAGGAGCTGGGGAAGGGACCCCAGGGGAAGGAAGCCTTCTGTCCTTTCAGAGGGCAGTAGGCTCAGCCTCTGTCAGTGACGGGAAGCCTGGTTTTCTCTGGAGGCAGTGGTCATTGTGGCTGTGTTGGTCCTGCTTCCCCACAGGCTGTGCTCCCACCGCAGTCGTCTCCCCTCTGCCTTGATAGTTCATGCCCTGCCCGCGGGGCCAGAATGGCTGCAGGTGTCCTGGCACCATGGCTGCCCCACCTGTCGGGTGCTGTCTGGGAATGGCTTCGCTCCCTTCATTTTGTGGGGTGACATGAACAGCAGACTTGCTGCCAGGTGGTGGCCCCAGACCTAGAAAAAGGCCTAGAAAAGCAGCCCAGATCCGGGAGCTGCCTGCCTTTCCTTCCTGCTGGAGCTGCAAACACAGGGACCCTGTGGTATCCTTGTGTGAGGGTCCTAGACAGGGGCATTCCTGTCACACTGTCTGCTGAGCTGACTGGCCTACAGTGGTGGGGACTCCAGGAGGGTGAGAATTGGGGGCCGGGGCCTGGAACTCTGACTGCAGGTTTCCTGTGTTCTCCCAGGTGAGTGGAGGTATGAGTGCCTCATCGGGGGGTTTTCCTGGTTGGGTTGCTGTGGTGGGTCAGACAGACACACGTTCAGACCTGCGTGGGGACTGACGTGGTGTTCTCAGCAGGGGTGTGGGGGGCAGGGGACCCTGAGGAGCTGGGGGTGCTCTGGGGCTTGTCGGTGCTGCTGGGTGTCAGCCCTGCCTTCCCCAGCTCTTCTCTGAGGCCGCCTTAAGGAGAGGGACTTTCTCTCCAGCGACAGAGGACACTGTCACAGCATCAGATGGACTGGAGTTACTGGGCATTGCTCTTGGGGTGTCCCATGGGGCTGTGGCAGCCTGTCTGACTCCGGCGTGGTGGACTGCACTCCGGGGGCGGGGGTGGGGCACTGAATAGGCGCTGATGGCTGAGCAAACTGAAGGAGCCTTTGGGAAGGTGGGAAGGGGCTGTGTGGGCCTCAGGGACTATATCCTGGACCACATTTCCCTGAGAAGCCTGGGACTGAGCATGGGATGGTGAGCTCCTCCCACCGAAGGCAGAGATGGCTCTGCCTTGGCAGGAAGTTGTGTTCATGCTGACTGCCAGCTGGCAGCCCATGGTCCTGGAGCTGATGGCTACCCCCCTGCTAGGCTTCTCTCTTGAGTTGGGTGAGTTCTGATCTTGTGATCTCACCCCATGCACACCATGAAGACCACTGAGCAGTTGTGACTCGCAGCCGCAGGCCTGGCGTGCTCCGGTTTCCTTCAGAGCATGTGCAGCAGGAGCGGAGCTGCCTGGCAGCTGGGCGCGAGGGACCTGAGTGGCGCTCGGCTCTCTGTGTCCCTCTGAAGCCTGCAGCTGTGGCTCTGAGGACTCGCCAGAGCTTGGCCACATACATACGCTGCGCCTTGTCCGCTGTGTGCACTGACTTGGGACTGGGCTGCCGGTTCCGGTGAGGACCTGAGGACAGCCACGTTCCGTAACTGGCTGGGCCTGGCTGAGCCCTCAGTGCTGATGAGGCACGCTGAGCTGGGATTTGTTTTCCTTTTATGCCTCAGCTTTCTAGATTGGCACCAAGACGCCCCCTTGTTGATAGGTGCTTGGGGATGTGGGGACGGAGCCGACTCTCTGTGAGTCTGAGTCCCTGGGCTTGGGGAGGCCCTTTCTGCCCCTGTCTGGACAAGATAGTAGGCCCTACCCTCACCTCTGCCCCAGGCCCCAAACCCCTGCTTGGGTCCCAGGGCTCCCAGCCCCATCTCGTCTCTCTGGTACTGTGCCGACTGACTCTGACTCTGAAAACATAGTGGCTCGGTGTTCTCAGGAGCCTAGGGAGCCATGTGGGCAGGGGCTGGGGGCCCCCTAGGGTGTTGCCATCCTGCATGGAGCCCCCACATTGAGCCATCTTAGCCAATGGATGGGCGCCCCTCTGTTGGCTGTGTCCTGTTGCTCAGACGGCTGGGCACCCTCTGTCCCAGCCACTCAGCACCCCTCAGACCTTGTTGGAATTTCAGCCCTGGGACTGTGCAGTCGTCTGGGATGCTTGTACATCCGGGATTCAGCATTCAGGAGAGCATTGGTCTTCAGCTTTGTGCTGGGGTCAGCGTGTAGCTGTCCTGAGGACTGATCGGGAGCGAGAAAGGGAGCCCTTCCTGGGGGTGTGGCTTGCAGGTGTGCAGGGAAAACCCGGATAATGTGTGCTGGGTTTTCTGTTTTAATTCATAGACTTTGTTGTTTGAGTCTTCTGGGCTCACAGGAGAGTGAGCGAGCGCTGCCCATTCCCCCCACTCCCCCTGAGGATCTCCACCTGCTACTAATATCTCAAGGCTTGCTTTATTTTATTTTTTTAAAAGGTTGTATGTATTTATTTGACAGCACAAGTAAGGGGAGTGTGAGAGGGAGAAGCAGGCTCCCTGCTCGGCAGGGAGCATGACTTGGGGCTCCATCCCAGGACCCTGGGATCATGACCTGAGTCGAAGGCAGACCAACTGAGCCACCCAGGCACCCTTCGAGGCTTACTTTAGTGTGGCATGTTTGTTACAAGGGAAGAGGCAGCATGGGTCTGTTCTTACTAACTAGGCCTGTGGTTCATGAGAGACACTCTCACTGTTGTCCCCACTGTTTCCCACTGTTGCATGGGATGGCCTCGCTGTCGCACTGGACGGCCTCGCTGTCCCCGCGGTTGCACAGGACAGCCTTATTGTCCCTGCTGTCATAGGGGATGGCCTTGCTGCCGTCCCCACTGTCGCACGGGATGGCCTCACTGTCCCCGCTGTCATACGGGATGGCCTCGCTGTCCCCATGTCCCTTTACATGTGTTGTGCCTCACTTGGTCCTCCCCATGTGTGGGCCCTTTATGGTCCTCCTACCTCTCCATGCCCTGAGCCCTTGCCCAGGGCCCGGGTTGCTCTGCTCTCAGAGGATCTTGTCCTTTGTGTGGAGGGTACATTTAGTTTTTCTGAACAAAAAGAGATAAAAGAAGAAAGGAGAAGAGAATGTGGGTGATTTCCTTGGCTCCTCGTTTTGGGGATGGTCACCTCGGCCCGTCCTGCCACCCCCTTGACCGGCTGCCCACCATGTGTCCCCGCAGCACTCGCGTGTGGACCCCGAGGAGCTCTTCACCAAGCTGGACCGTATCGGCAAGGGCTCCTTTGGGGAGGTGTACAAGGGCATTGACAACCGCACCAAGGAGGTGGTGGCCATCAAAATCATCGACCTGGAGGAGGCCGAGGACGAGATCGAGGACATTCAGCAGGAGATCACTGTGCTCAGCCAGTGTGACAGCCCGTACATCACCCGCTACTTCGGCTCCTACCTGAAGGTGCCTGGTGGGCGGGCTTGCTCTGTGCTGGGCCTGCTTAGATGGAGGCTGGGGACAGCCAACCCTGGCCCAGCCTGCGTCTGGAGGGCTGGAGTGATAATGCCCAGTGTTCCGTGTGGTTGGAGCTGAGGGGCCCCTGGAAGCCCCTATACCTGCTCAGAAGGCCTTGGTTGGGTCTGCCCCTGCCGCTGGGGGACAGTGGGATGGAGAGGCCTGGTCTGAAAGGTGAGGGACTGCAGCAGTTGAACATAGACCCAACTTCACAGTGGAGTGGGTCACCCAAAAACAGCTGCCCCAAGGGCCAGGTGGGCATGTGGGATGTGAGTGGGGTCTGGTTAGCTGTGAAGGGGCCATGGTGACCTACCCCCTGGCTGTGGGCATCTCCAGGGCCGGGGCAGCGTTCCCAGTGTCTGGGAAGCCCTGCCAGGGTCACTCTAGGCCCCCTGCAGCCGGAGCCCAGGGGAGTGCCAGCTTCTGGGGGTCCTTCCCAGGGGGAAGGGGGATGCTTGGGATGCAGGTACGTGGGGCCGAGTGCTGACTGGGCCTGCCATTTTCCTGGTCTGGTTTTTGATGGGGGGTTGGCATAGTGGACTTGGCCACTGGTCCATCTGCAAAGTGGTTGCATTGGGGGTTTGATGGGAGTGGAGCTGAATGGGGCTGGTGGGTCCCTTTTGTGGGCTGGAGGGGCTGGAGGCCCAAGTCACCGCTGCTGGGGAGTGTGTGTCCTGGGGGCCTGGCCCCGCTGTCCCGCTTTGTTCTCTGCCCTGTGCTGACAGGTGTTTCTCTGATCCCAGAGCACGAAGCTGTGGATCATCATGGAGTATCTGGGCGGCGGTTCTGCGTTGGACCTGGTGAGGTGTAGGCCGCAACGGTGGGCAGCAGCGGGCAGCTTGCCGTGGGCAGGAGCAGACAGAAGAAGGTTGCTGTGGGGCTATCCTGGCAGCACTGCCAGACCACTGGGGACCCCCGGCCGCCTCTCCCTTGCTGTCCTGGTGTAGTACGTGTTGGTTAGGAGCCATTTAAGGCCAAACACAAATTGCTGTTGGCGGTCCCTTTCTGCTGAGGGGGTCCTGCGCCTGTGGGATGCAGGCGAGTGGGGGCCCCCAGGCAGACAGGCCCAGCAGTGTGGCCGGGACCGCCTTTGCAAGAAAGAAGAAAGCAGGGTGTGCGTTCTCAAGAGTCTCCCCTGCTCCCACCTGGCTCAGTGCGTGAGGCTTCTTCTCATCCAGGAGTTGTTCAGGGAACGGGAGGTCCCTGCTGTCCGCAGGGTAGCCCCTCCCTGGGTAGAGAGGGGGTCGAGTTAGGGCCCTGGCAGTGGGTCTGGAGGGACATGGAAGGAAGGGCTGGTCTGTGTTTGGGGGTGCCTGAGGCCCTGCCACACCTCCTTTGCAGCTCAAACCTGGCCCCCTGGAGGAGACCTACATCGCCACCATCCTGCGGGAGATCCTGAAGGGCCTGGACTACTTGCACTCGGAGCGCAAGATCCACCGAGACATCAAAGGTCCCTGTGACACCCCCCCCCCCGACCCTAGAAGTGCCAGGGTGGGAGGTGGCAGGTAGCTGTGAGGGGGGGCATCTGGGTGGGGCTGCTGGGGGCCTGGGGCCCTGTAGCTCGACGCTTCTGGCGTCAGAAACTGAGCAGTTCTGTCGAATAGACAGTAGTCGCCTGTCCCTGTACGGGGCCAACGCTAACTTTGCAACCTTGTCAGGAAGGACAGTCCTTGCCCGTAGTCCCGCATCCGAGTGTCTGCCCCACCCTGGGAGCCAGCCCTGCTAAGCCGGGGAGGCACCGGGGAGGCTGTGGGGAGTGTGAGGCCAAGGGTCAAGAGTTCCCTCTGCCTGTTGTGCCGTGGCTCTGCTCCCAGGGTTTGTCATGAGACATTGGGGCCCCCTGTGCCTGCAGCTACTCACCTGGGTCTCTGGCCCACTGGCTAAAGAGGAAAGCTCAGGTCCCTGAAATGGATGAGCTGGTGTCCCCAGGTGGCGGTGTGCTTCCTCGGGCAGCTGTGTACAGGGTGGGGCCCGGCACAGGGTCGAAGGTGACACCCGCTGTCCTGTGTTGAGCAGCTGCCAACGTGCTGCTCTCAGAGCAGGGTGACGTGAAGCTGGCGGACTTTGGGGTGGCGGGGCAGCTCACGGACACGCAGATCAAGAGGAACACATTTGTGGGCACCCCTTTCTGGATGGCACCCGAGGTCATCAAGCAGTCGGCCTATGACTTCAAGGTGGGCATGGTGGCAGGGAGAAGGGTGGCTGTGGCACAGCCTGGGGAACTTCCAGCAGCCATGGTCCTGTGTGGGTCTCTGTCCAGGCTGACATCTGGTCGCTGGGGATCACAGCCATTGAGCTGGCCAAGGGCGAGCCTCCGAACTCTGACCTCCACCCCATGCGCGTCCTGTTCCTGATCCCCAAGAACAGCCCGCCCACCCTGGAGGGCCACCATAGCAAGCCCTTCAAGGAGTTTGTGGAGGCCTGCCTCAACAAAGACCCCCGATTCGTAAGCCCTGGCTCTTGGGGTAGGCTGGGAGGGGCCTGAGCTGCTCTGAAACCTGGCCCCTTCCTTGGGCCAGGTCCCCCCCCCACCCCCCGCCCTAAGCCCTTCCTGATCCGGGTGGGACCTATCAGGAGCTAGCTCTAGAGAAGCTTGTGGAGTGGGTACACCAGGGGGTGGAAGGCGTGTCCCGCCCCCTCAGTTGCCTCTTCCCACCAGGTGCCCCGGGGAGCAGGGAGCCCTGGGGCCCGAAAGCAGAGCTCCAATGTCCCTGACACCCAGTGACCTGCGTCCTTCCGCCCTGCAGCGGCCCACTGCCAAGGAGCTCCTGAAGCACAAGTTCCTCGCGCGCTACACCAAGAAGACCTCCTTCCTCACTGAGCTCATCGACCGCTACAAGCGCTGGAAGTCAGAGGGGCACGGCGAGGAGTCCAGCTCCGAGGACTCAGACATGTAGGGGCCCTTGTGGACGGGGCACAGCCTCACGGTCACGGGCCCCTGAAGCCCAGGAGGGCCTACGTAGCATTTAGGGCCATGAGGTTGCCTCCAAAATAAATGGGAGGCTCGAGAAGGTGTGGGACTTGGGACCCTCAGCCCCGAGGACCCTCACAGCCCTTCATCTTCTGCTCCAGTGATGCAGATGCTGAGGACGGAGAGCAGGGTCCCATCTGGACGTTCCCCCCCACCATCCGGCCAAGCCCACACAGCAAACTGCACAAGGGGACTGCCCTGCATGGCCCCCAAAAGGTCTGACCTGGCCAGGGCGGGTGGGGGAGCTGCTTTGGGGGTGGCAGATACCCTGGGGTGGGTGCTTCCCCAGGCTTTGCCTTGTAAGGAGCACAGAAATGTGGGGGAGGGAGCACACCTGCCCCCTGGGAGCATGCATTCTTCTCTGCCCTGTTCACCCTGCCCCTGGTCTTGACCTTGCAGTCAGCGGAGCCTGTCAAGAGGCAGCCGAGGTCCCAGTGCCTATCCACGCTGGTCCGGCCTGTCTTTGGAGAGGTGAGGGCCAGACACTTTCTGCACGGTGTTAACATGAGGTGTATGATGAGGGGTGCTGACCAGCTGCCACTGTTGGGGGTGGTTTCCAGGCCCCTTGGAGCCCACTGGGGTTGGACCAGGATCTGGGGGCCAGGCTTTCTAAGCAAAGGAGAAGTGGCTGGGACAAAGGACCTTTATATGATCCTTCTGTGTTCTCAGTCCGCTGGGGTCCTTGAACAAAATTAGTGTTCTGTAACCTTTTATTCTGAATTGCAAACAGAGGGACTGGTCACCTGTTTAGAGAGCCTGGGAGGCTTAGTTCTCGGTGATGGGTGTCCATCCCAGGGCAGGGAGGCCTCAAGGGTGACTCCCCAGTGGTCCTGTCACTCTACATGTCACCTGCTGATGAGTGGTAATACCCCAGGAATACGATGCAGCCAGGTACCCCCACACCCTGGTCGTGGGCCTGGTTCCCACCCTAGGTGACAACAGCACTCAGAGCCCAGGGAGAGAGGACTTGATGCTGAGAGGTTTTCTGAGGAAAGTGGCAGAGTGGGAGGTTACAGGCAGGAGAGCACCCACCCAGGGAGGAGGTTGGAGAGGAGCTGGCAGCAAGAGAGGGCCTGTCATAGGGGCTAGGCACCAGGAGCTTGAGCTCAGCTGGACCATGTCCCCACAGGGGCAGCGAGGCCAGAGGTGGCGATTGTCACAAGGGCCACGAGCACCCTAGGCTGCTCTGAGTGGATGGAGTGGGCCTTGAGGGACTTGGTGGGGTGGGGCGTGGGCTGTGGGAGCTCCTGCCCAGTGTGTGCTGGTGTGTCCTTGGGGAAGTTGGGGGGACAGCGTGGCTGCATCTGGCTTGCCAAGTGCACCCCCTGTGGCTCCTGATTCTGTGGACTGGGACTGCGGTCGAGGCTGGCAGAGGGGTTTCCTGGGAGAAACACAGGCCTTTCCCCCTTTTGTTTCTGTGAGGGGTGTGGCGGGAGCGCGGGGTTGGCCTGTTTCTGCCTGCTATCTGCCAGGTCTGAAGGAAGGCAGGCATCCTCCATCTGAGGGTTGGGATGTTGTGGTCTGCAAGTCCGCTGGACCTGAGCCATGGGCTTTTGTGACCCTCGGTTGGGAGGAAGCCATGTGGTTCGCTTGGCCCACAGCTGCCTAGGAGGCTGCTGGAGACCCTTCTTGATAACCAAGACCTGATATTGCCTGGGGCGTGGGGGCGGGGCAGCACCTGCCTTTCCTGGATGCCCCAGGCCCTGGCTACAGGCTCAGGGCTGCCAGGACCCAGCCCATCCTAGCTTTGTGGGGAAGGACCACTCTGGTCTCCGGTACAGGTGCCGGGCCCCAGGGAGGGGCCGGGGAGCCTCCGACGCAGGCCTCCTGGGAGCGCCTCCCCACTGAGGGCCCCGTGCTCCTGCGGGAGCTCACAGTGAGGTGCCTGGGGGTCTGTCTGCAGCTCAAGGAGAAGCACAAGCAGAGCGGTGGGGGCGTGGGGGCGCTGGAGGAGCTGGAGAACGCCTTCAGCCTGGCTGAGGAGTCCTGCCCCGGTATCTCGGACAAGCTGATGGCTCACCTGGTGGAGCGGGTGCAGAGGTGAGGCCCAGGGCGCTTGCTGTGGCTGTCACACCGGAGACCGGGCTGTATGGATCTCTCCCCCTAGGCCCGCCCATGCAGCTGCCCACTGCCCTGCTGGCCGCGCGTCCAGCCTGCACTCCAGGCCAGGATTCTTCTCCACAGGTTTTCGCACAACAGAAACCACCTGACATCCACCCGCTGAAGGGTGCTGCTGCTTGAGGAGCACAGGGAGGAAGGTCTGACCTGTGCTGCTGCGACCACCATCATCCCTCCCCCCTGTCCCGGACTGAGGAGTGGGGGACTGTTGGCCCGTCTGCCTCCTCCCCTGCCCGGAGGCCCCAGTGGCCAAGCCGGTTGGTCATAGATGGGCCTTGTGGTGTTGATCAGGTACCGTGTCTCCAAAGTACTCAAGTCAACCAGAACTGGGGTGTTGGTTTTTGTTTTTGTTTTTTTTTTCTAAAAGAAAATGAACTTCCTTGCTTCCCTAAATGTTCTGAGGTTAAGGTGTTAGTTTTCATAGAATATTGAGAGGCTCCTGCCACTTTCAATAAAGACCCGGATTGGAGAGATGCTGGCCATGGGTGGGGCCTGTTCCTGGCTTCTGTGTCCTAGTCCTAGTACGCGGTGACCGCGGGGACAGGCCCTTTATCCAGCAGCGCATGCACGTTACACGAGCGACGAACAGCGCGTCCGTGTACTTGAGTTTGTTAGGAAACACTGGGAACTGATGAACGGGAGGCCCGTGGGGAACTCGGCTTCCACTTCCCTAGAGGTCTGTGGGGCAGGCGCCAGAGTGGCTTCTACCGGGCACGTATGTAGCACGATTCACAGGGTCCTGCTCTGGGCCAGTCCTCAATAGGTGCTGCGCGGCGAGGGGGAAGAGTGGGGTAGTGCTGGGCTCGGTCTCCACCCTGAGCTGGGCCTGCGGTTTCACATGTATGTGCGATCCTCCGGGTGCCCCCCCCGCGCCCCTCCCAGAGGTCACTGTGAGGCTCCCTCTCCCATCCTACACTGGGGATGCTGTGACATGGGGTATGTGCTGAATCAGCTCTGCTTCCTCGGCTCTGTCCTCGTTGGGCAGGATGGCCTTCACGCCTCTTCCTCAGGTCGCCTGGCCCTCCCAGGTGAGCTGCCGGCTCTCTCGATCACCTCCATCCACCTGGAGATGAGGTTGGACCAGAAGCTCCCAAGATGTTCACTTGGGAGTCAAGGGATGCTCTGGTCATACCCATGGCCTTGAGCTCAAGGTTCCTCCCAAGGACAGCCCCAAACATGGAGTGAATGGGACAAAGCCAGGACTAGCGAAAACCCTAGAAGCCATGCTCAGCAGCTGCCTCAGGGAACCCTGGGGGATGCCCACAGACCCCAGAATTACCTCCCAAACGTGTACTTGCTCTCTGCTCGGAAGAAGTAGACATGGGATTTGAACTGGAGCTTGAAGACGTGCTCCTTATGGACACCATCAGCCTCCTTGGGGACGCTCACGCTGTAGCCCAGCAACGGGAGGCTGGCCAGGGGGTAGTCGTCCTGCAAGGGGGCGTGTGGCTCAGCAGCAGCTGTCCCCACCCCCCGCCCTGTCCTGATGGCTGGCTACCCCTACGTGGGGTGGGGGGGCCTGGGGAGCCCTGAGGGCACAGGTCAAGGAGCTGAAAGAATGTGTGGCAAGCAGGGGTCGCTCTCTGCCAGGGGCATGGGCACAGTCCTGTTGAACACCCTTACCTGATGAGTTTTGTAGAAGAACAGACAGAAATTGGTAAAGACCACCCAGAGCTTCTGCCAGCCATTACTGTTCTTGAATTTTCTTAGCAGATACCCTGAAAGCTGATTCTGCAGGAAAATAAAAAGCTGCTGGCCCCGGTCCGTGTCCTAGGACTCCGCCCTGAGTAGCACCTGCTCCCCAGAAGGCACATCCACCCCTCTGGCCTTTTTCACTGAAGTCCCAGACTTCGCTTCTCTGGGTGTGGCCGCACCCTCCACATGCTCTGGGTCTGTTGGCCTGTTTAACCCTCTAACAGCAGGAGGTTTACAAATCTGGAGAATGAATTCCAGGCACTAAGTAGAAGGTCACTACATTTCTCTTCCCTATTTACAGTAACTCCAGCCACGACCATCACAGACCATCACACACATGGAGCCAAGGAGATGTGGCTCTGATGAGGCACCCCAGCTCCTGGCCCTGAGTGTGGCGTCCACTGCCCCTCGGCCCGGTGTTGTGAGGAGGCTGGAGTCCTGACCCAGGGATGGCCACCCTTTGGCCAGTGACCTTTCTCCTTAGAGTCCTCCCTGTGGGGCAAGACACAGGGCCTGTGTCAGGGCTGATGCTGGGGATGGTGGAGGGGGGCAGTGAGGGGGCTGTCCCTGGGGGCTTTGGCACCTGCTGCTGCTGCTCCTGGCCCAGGTGTGAAGGGAATTCAGAAACCACTCTGAGTGGGAGGCAGCCTGAGAGCTGAAGGGCTGGAGTCCAGAGCAGCCACTCAGAGGTGATGGAGGGGAGGCAGCAGCCCTGATGGGACGGTCAGCTCGCAGCCCCGTGGCCTCCCAGGCCGCTCTGCTGGAGGGGACTTGCTAACTGGCTTCTGGCCCAAGGGGACAGAGCAGGAGACCGTGCCGGTGTGGGAGTCCCTCCCCACCCCAAGCCCTCCCCATCGGCTGGCATGAGCAGGGGGAGCCCAGAGCAGCCACACCTCGACCGCCGCGCTGTGGTCAGCTCTGGACACACTGGTGTTTCGGTACCAGCACACGCGCACCGTGGTGTTGGCCCGGGGCTGCCCCTGGCCTTCCAGGGAGCCGCGGGAGCTGCGTGCATCCTCGGACTCCTGCTCCGGAGAGACCTCCTCCATGCATCCTGGGGGAGGAGGCCGCTGTCAGAGGAGATAGGAGCAGGGGGCGAGTAGGGCCAGGGGTGCCCTTGGACTGGGGCTCTGCAGGGGGGCTGGGGCCTTGGGAACCAGGAAGCCCTAGGGCCCAGGTCAGCAGCAGGCAGCAAGACCATACGATGCTTCTGCTAGAAGGGCTCACGGTCCTTCCCCACCCCAGGGGGACCCAGAACCTTACTTGTGGAGAGAGCATGTGGGCTAGCAGGAGGCCTGTGATCAAGAAAACGGACTTGTAGGGGCACCTGGGTGGCTCAGTCAGAGGGTCAACTCTGGTTCAGGTGATGATCTCAGGGTCGTGGGATTGAGCCCCATGTTCGGCTCTGCTCAGCAGGGAGTCTGCTGCTCCCTATACCCTTCCCCTCCTCCCCTATTCGCGTGCTCAAAAAAAAAAAAATTTTTTGTCGAGAAGCTTAAATGCAAAGGGGGGTTCTTCAGACGACTTGGCCAGAACTCACTGGAGGGCGTCGAGCACACCACGCTGCCCGGCAACACCAGGGACTGGCCACTCCTGCTCTTGGCTGCATCAATGGCGGTGTTCAGGTCACATATCCACTTCTCCTTTTCCAGGCGAGTGCTGGGGAGAGGGGTGAGGCTCAGAGCTGGCTCAGCTGGGCCACCAGGGGCTCCTAGCTGTGCCCCCTTCTCAGCAAGACATAAGGTTGGACTGCACGTTCCTGTGAGCCCCGGGGGTTGTTGGGAGTGCTTCTGGGGGGCCAACCCTGCATCCCCTTGGGAGCTGCTGGGGGGTGGGAGAGGAGGAAAGGCAACCACTCGGCACCAGAACAGGGGCTTCTATAAGGAGCATGGATTCCCGAAACAACGTTCGAGTCTGGTGCTGAGATGCAGGGTTGGTTGCTGGTTCCTGTCTGGCTGCGCAGGCTGCTGGGGGTGCGAGTGTCCTGTGCCTGCTGCCGTCAGCCGGGACATCAGTCAGGACACCGCAGGGTGGGAGCTGAGAGCCAGCTGCCCACCCAGGAGAAGGAAAGCCTCTGCTCGGGGAGGTGCTGGGGACCCCGGCTCCCACAGGGGAGAGACTGAGCCACTTGCTCACTGTTGGGCTCAGGCCTCCTCCCCACCTGAGAGGAGATTTGGGAAAAGCGGCTGCTACTGCTGACAGCCCTGCTCTGGGGATGCAGGTGAGATGGGCCTGGTCTTGAGGGAGCCTCCGTGCGCATGCTTAGGGGAGGCAGCCCATCCGTGTGGGCTGCCATGGGTGGGGGGCCATGCACGGAGGCTTGGTGGGGGGCAGCTCAACAGCACCGTGGCCTCTCTGTGGGGACATTTTCAGTGGTCATAAGCTCCCCACCCAAGGAGCAGCTACTCCCCTGGTCCCATAACAAGTGGGGCTTGCGGGGGGGCACACACCCTATGACTGACACGCTCAACTCTGGGAGGACCCCAGATCATGACCGGGAAGCTCCCACCCTGAGGCCCAGCGGAGGCAGACGAGGAAAGCTCGTACCTGGCTGCCACCACGACTGTTTTCGGAGCTGCACAAATGGTGAAGCAGTGGGGAACAGACCGTTCGTGCTCACCTTCCTCTACCTGTGGCAGGAGAAGAGGCAAAGTTCTGGAGCGTGCGCAGGGCGGGTGGGACCCCTGCTTGCAGCACGACGCGGGCGCATGGAAGCCCTGCGCCGGTCTATGTCGACTATGAGGGGCTACAGGAGCACGGGGGGGGCCGCGCCATGGCACCTGCCCCCCAGGTGGGTGAGCTGTGGGCCACAGGGCACCCAACTACTCACCGGTGGGTCCAGCACTATTAGCTGAAAGTCAAGCACAGGAAAAAATATTGAGCATTTTCATTATTAAGAGGGGAGTTGGACAATTCACTTTGTAAACCTGGTACCCAAACCTAACAGTTTCTATTTAGTATCTTTTTCTATCTAGTATCTATTTCTGTTTAGAATCTCATTACGGATAATTGCTGCTTGGACTGTCCGAGCCTGCGAAAGTAATCTCTCCACCCATCATGGAGCTCAAATTCATAACCCCAAGATCAAGAGTTGCATACTCCACTTACTGAGCCAGCCAGGAGCCCTCAAAGAAAGGGAAATTGAGGGAGCCCTCATCACATGACCTTTGGTCTCTATGACGGGAGATTAAACTCTGTATGGAGTGCAAGCTTGGTGAAGAAATGGCAATAAATTCAATAAATGAAAAAAAGTTTCAAAGAGAAACTTCCACAACCGATCTCAGTTGTAAGTGACTGAAATAACTCCCCAATAAAATAACCACCTGACCCAACCCAAAGTACAGACAGGAAGTTGTCCTGGGACTGAGTGAGGTTCTCCAAAAGCAAGGCTATTTCAGCCCTGTCCTTGGGTCCACGGGGAAGGGGTGAAAATCTTGACATGCTGCACACGACTTTGCTAAGATCCTACATGTGATTTCTGGTAATAGCTCTTCGATAGAAACAGGAGGAAGCTGTAAACGCAACAGAGGTCCTCTCTCCAAAGCCAAGAGCTATCACCCTTACGTCTGCATTCAGGTTGAGGGCTGGCTGGCTGGGCCCCGAGACTGGCCAGTCACAGACAGTCCCAGGATGGACAGTGAGCCTGTGCGGGGCCCAGGAAAAGCCCATCGCTAGGCCTCATGGGACACAAGCTCTGAAAAGGGCAGGAGCCGTAGCCAGTAGAAAAGGTTGACGTTCGTCCTCCCTAACCCTAGTTAGCATGTAGATGCAATGCAAATATGTGCTGGTTTTTTAAGGAATTTGTCCAAATGATTCCTAAGTTTATTTTGAAGAATTAAATACTTGAGAGCAACAAAGCACCTTTTAAAAAGGAGGATAAATAAGGGACACACTTATTCACCTACATAGCAACTCTTCCCCAGAACACATGGATCGGAAGAACGTGCTAATGCCGGCACAGAGAGATGGAACAGAAGGCCCAGGAGGAACCCCAGGTGAGAAGGTGGCAATTGTCTCCATTAGGACAGCAGCTGCACCAATGGGAAGCAAGCCGCGTGGCCCAGTCCAGCCTCACCCAAGGGGACATGTGGAGACTATTTATGCGATGAGAACAATGAAACTATTAATGTGTCAGAAAAAAAAAGTGCCAGTGTGATCTTGGCGTGGGGAAGGACTTTGCAGTCTGCACCCCAAACAGAAACCCTGAAGGAGCAGATGGACAGACAGGATGACAGAGATGCCTGACTTCTCTTCCTCAACAGGTATTGTTGGGCCCTCTGTGCCAGATGCTGTCCCAGGAGTAAGACAGTGTCTGTCCACTGGAGTTTCAATTCAACAAGAGAAAACCAAACTGCAGGAAAAATAAAAGGGAATTACGAATTGGAGGAAGGATCTGGGACCCCTAAGAGCAGGCCAGTGTCTAAAAACATGCTACACAAAGAGACCAGAGTGACAGACACACCTGGGCGCCACCCCAGGGGGTGGCCCTAGACTCTAGGGGATATGTACGGACTCTGTCAGCCTCACTGACCGTCCAAGGGCCAGTGGCACCCCCCAAGTGGCCCAGGTGAGGGGTGAGTACCCCATTGTCCCCCGCAGGCTGTGGGAAGACAGGTTCAGATGCACTGAGCTGGAAGGCTGGGTGGTGCAGCTGCCTAAGTGATGTACGGTCCAATTCAGGGCCTCAAAAGCCGGTGCACCCACTGCTCAAAAAGCACATTGTAGGCATAGATAGGGAGGTGTCAAAAGACAGCCAGTGGTGTTCTAATTCTGAAAAACGAAATGGAGCCAAAATGTCCAGTGCAGGGGGACAGGAAAGCTGGCCTCCCGCTTGCCTGTCTACCATTCTTCTCCGTGAACTCAGTCCCCAGCCTTGGTTACAAGCTCAGGAGACCCCAGGGACGAACCACTGCAGCTGCCAGGAAGGTCGAGCTCCCTCCAGAGACCGGAGGGCGTGTTGCAAGCTGCCCACAGTGCGGATTACTGGGTGGCCTAGTCATGAGTGATTCTTACTGTGTACGGTCCGTTCTCTCCGATGATGCAAGTCCATTTTTAAAAGTAAACTTTAGAACAGATGGGAAGTGCCTCCGGTGATTGCAAATGTCATTCAAACAGGCCCTTTCTTGCTGAGGGCCAAGAGAGCTGAACCAAACGTTAGAGACATCTGGCTCAGGTGCCCAGCGGAAAGAGGGACAGTGCCAAGGACCATGGAGGGCCGAGAACAGAAGGCACCCTTGAAGAAGAGGGTGGAAACTGAGACAGACTGGCCAAGTGTAACAGAGCAGAGTGGGGTCCAGCCCCTCACCTGTGGACATGTGGGCCAGGGGTTCCCTGTCGTGACATGGTCTGCACCAACAGTACATCTCTATGGCAAAAACCTGAACTTGGCCTCCTGTCTTTACTATTCCCAAGGATGGGTTCCAGGCTGAATGCAGGTCTACACTCAAGGGCAAGTGGAGAGAGTGTCTATGTGTGTGTAGGGGTCTCTCTGGGACCATCAAGCAGGGTCTTCATCAGGCCACGAAAAGCACTGAGCACAAAGGGTAAGGCTGAGGAACAGCATCACATTAAAATGAAGGGCCTGTCAGCGACACACAGTGTCTTGCTATGTTGAACCTGTAATGGGGACGCGGACATGTGACAGGCATGTGGTGTGGATAGAGGGCTTGCTGTGCAGCAGGATCACCAGTGGCCCAGGCCTGCTACGGCGGCGCACAGGTGAACGTGACCTTTCCCTGGGGCTGGCTCCCACCTCGTGGAGGGAAGACACAAGCCCAGCCCCGAACTGCAGCCAGCAGGCTTGTCCATGGCTGTGCTGTCCTCCCATTCTGAAGGTGTGCGTGTGCACGTGCATGTGCGTGAAACAAGGTAGGAACACAGGTACCAGCAGGAGAAGAGCTACAAGCATGAGAAGAAAGGCTCTGCTGTCTTTAGAGCAAGTGGGTCAGGTCTCTCTCTCAGAAGCTGGTCTCTCTCAGCTCCATCCCATGAGCACCCAACTCGAGTCTTTCTCTGTGCCTCCTACTGAAGGACAGGCTCCCCGGGGTGGAGGTGGGGTGGCAGGTGGGTCTGGGCAGGAGGCGGACACAGGACTGAAGCCCATCCTTAGGGGCTGAGGCTGCAGGCAGAGCCCGTGGCCCACCAAGGACGCAGCCATGACGGCCCGAGAGCACGGCATGCGAGCACTCACCAGCATGCCGCAGAGGGGAAGGCGGCCCCGGATCCGGAAGTGGCTGCTGCCCGTGACCCCTTTGCTTGTGTACAGCAGCATATCTGAGAACTGAGACCAGTGGCTTTATTACACAGAAGTTTAAAAACAAGGGACAAGTTTCAATGTCTAGTAGTCACTGGTTTCAGCTTAGGTTTGTGATCTCAGGGTCAGGAGGTAGAGCCCCATGCCAGCTTCTGTGCTCAGGCTGGTGTCCGCTCAAGTTTCTCTCTCCCTCTCCCTCTGCCCCTCCCCTCTGTGTTTCCTCTCTCAATGATTTTGGCAGGTGGTACCTAGTAACCACGTGTGTCAGCAGGTTTCTCAGGCCAGCGTCCAGTGCCCACCAGCTGGAGGCAGTGGGGAGTCCTGGCTGGTCTTCCGGTCACCCCTCGGCCAGGATGGCTCAGGCTGGAGCCGACTAAGTGGCACGAGGCAGGAAGTTGATCAAGGGAACTCACTGTAAGGGCCCCGGTTCTCTGAGGCAAAGCCAGTGCTCGGTGTGGCATCCCTGCAGCAACGGGGACTTGGGCTTTGCTATCTTCTGGCTTTCTGAGGGTCCTGCACAGAGGCGCCCAGAAGACCCAGTGGGAAGGCCCCTCACTGGGAGTGTTTGCTGCCGGCCCGGCTCCTGTCTGACTTGGGGCGGCTTGCCTGGGCCACAGCACCGGCCGCCCTAACAGAACCACACGCTTTCCACCTACCAGGAAAAACATCCTCTGCTGGAGGCCCTTCTTGGTGAGCTTGTGAAGGCAGCCCTCGCGGATGAACTCCTGTGAGAGAGAGATGAGGTCCTCTGGTGCCAGTCCCCGGCCACCTCCATGGGTGTGGTGCTGGCGGGCTGCGGGCCAGGCTGATGTCACCCCTTATGCTTTCTTGAGTGCATATCCGGCCCTTTGACGGCACCCTCCTGCCCAGGACCCTCCACGTGTTTCCAGCCTCTGCCCTCCCACCTGCTTCCTTTGGTCACCCAGGCCAGTCTCTAGACGTCTGCTGAGCATCAGTGGCCCCATCTCGCCACAGGTGGCAACGCTGAAGGCCCTCACGAAAAGGTTGCTGGGCTCCTGGAAGGCTCAGGCACAGAGATATCTGAGTTCAGCTTTGAGAAAAACTGGGCCAGAGCAGCTGGAGAATGGCAGGGAAGAGGATGGAACACCTGGTTCTCAGCAAACATTGGCAGGTGGTTAGCGTCCACTGTCCCCTGAGCACTGGCACAGGCAGAGAGGGTTCCCAATACCACAAGGGCTTTCCCACCTAAGATGATGGGACACTGGTGGGGCTAGAGCTCCAGGAGGAGCCAGAAGTGCTATGGGTCCCGGGTGGTCCTTCCACAGAGGGACAGGGGAGGGTTCTGCCTCTCCCCCCAGGGCCTGATCGTACCCTCAGGACTTGGGGACACACCTCACACTTCACCATCCGTGCTGGAGGGCCACCGCCCAGGCCCGCACAGATACCTCTCAGGCCCCTAACTGCCCTTGCCAATGGCGGAAAGTATCAGTCCTGGTGATTCCGAAGAATTCCGGCTTGAACGATTTCCGGATACTCTGCCCATCTGTTGATCCTTGCAGGAGCATGAGCTTCACACCCGGAGAACTTGCCAGAAGAACCCAGCCCTCATATGGACTGAGAACTTCACAGCAGCCTCATGGACGAAACGGAGATGAGGAGGGCGGGCCTGGCAGGGTGCCAGCACTGAAGAGCCGGCTGGGCCTGACTCTGAGCTCGAGGCTTCTGTGGCTTCCACATCAGAGCCACCTTCCCCACCCTCTTTGGCCAAAGGGAAGACCATAGTCCCTGGCTCTTCCTGCAGCCGCAAACCCTATTTGCGTGGGTTCCTGCCCTCACGAAGCCAGCTCCACCACCTGACACCCCACTGAGACTCAAGCACCAGCGTGTCCCAGGCCTGTGAGTGCTCTTCCCTCCGACCTCGCCCCCACCAGGCTGTGGGCCCGCCCTTGGCGGCACCTGCATTCTGCCTCATCTAGACATTTCCCAGTTCTTACCCTTTGATGCCTCGTCATCAACTTTCTTCCTAGTTAACAACCCTTGTTCTCAAATTCCTCTGCTCACATAACTAGTGTGGTTTCTGTCTCTGACCGACACACATATTTAACAAGGAGACCGAGAGCCCTGGTCATGCAGCTCAGACCTTGGAGAGAGTTCAACTAAAAACAACTGTGGCAGTGAGAGTTTGCCTCCCAACTACTTCATGCAAGGCTCTGGGCCAAGCAGCAGACATTAGTCCCCTTGTTGCCCCAAGACCCTCTGTGTCACAGAGGTGGAGCAACCTGCCTAGGCCACACAGTCCACCCCGACCCCTGCTCTATGGCTACTCTCCTTACCCCTCAGTGACAATTCCCAGGGGCCACCATCTCTAACACACTGGGAGGGGCCCTGGGAGAAACCACCTGCACCGACTGCCCCACCAACCCCCAGGGCTCCCCACCAGCAGAGCCCTGTGGTCAAGGAGGGAAAGGAACCGGAGCTGTCCTGGCCCCCAACCAAAGCCCCAACTCCAGGAGGTCAGGACCTTCCAGTACATTGTACTATAGATCATTTCTTTGAGCTTGTGACCTCATGTGTACCTTCTACCAAGGCTAACACAGAAACATGACTTACACAGTCACTCTCTAATACATGTATGTTTGTGCTGACACAGGAAACCTCATGCAACCCTTAAACAGGGTGTCTTCTGTTGACAGTAGTAAGTTCAAAAAGGCATCAGTGACAAAGTAAGCAGCATGGATATGTAGAGCCTCAGAGTAGGACTGAGAGTTCAAAAATTAAACTGGCACATCTGAGTCTATGGACAGTCCAACAGATAGCCACATGGGGAAAAAATGAGGTTGGACCCCTACCTCACCCCACACATAAATGAACTACAAAGGGATCAAATCTAAACATAAAAGCGGAAACACGGGAAGTTTCTAGAAGAGAACACAAGGTAAACTGTCATACTGTGGACTGGGGAGCGGTGTCTCATCTGTGACATCCAAAGCACGAGCAACCCAAGAGGTAAATTTGACTCCATAAAAATAATTTTAAAAACCTAACCCTTGTGTGCTGTAAATGACACCACAGAAAAAGTGAAACACCCCACAAAATGAGAGGACATGTCTGCAAATCCTGTTCTGCTAAGCATCTGGGGCCCAGAATAGATAAAGACTCTTACACCGCAACAGCAAAAAGACAGTCCAGTGAAAAGGTCGGCAAAGGGTCTGAAGAGGCATTTCTCCAGAGAAGGCACGTAAGTGGCCAATGAACACATGACAAGAGACTTGACACTAGCCATGTGAGAAATGGGAATCACAACCACAATGAGATCCCATTACGTACCGCCGTGATGGCTAGGAGCACAAAGATAAGATATGGAGAAACCAGAACCCTCACGCGTTCCTGGGCGGAATGTGAAATTGCCCGGTGACTTTGGAAAACCGGCGGTTTCTCAAAATGTGAAACACAGTTACCATGTGACCCAGCAGTTCCACTGGTAGGCATCCACCCAGGAGAACTGCAAGACCATGTTCACCCGAGGACACAAACTTGCACAAATGTTCACGGCAGCATTATTCACAATCAGCACAAAAGGGAAGCAGCCCCAGTGGGCCGCAGCAGATGGACGGAGACACAGGCTATGGTGTGTGCAAAGAATAGAGCTGATGTGGTCAGTGAAAGGAGGTGCACTGACCGGAACCCAGAAAACATGGTCCTCAGCGAAAGCAGCCAGACACAAAAGGCAACACACTGATTCCTTTCATAGGAAATGTCCAGGAGTGGCAAAGCCATTGGATGTGGATTAGCAGTTGGCATAGAGTGGGGAGGGGGTGGGGAGTGGCTTAACAGGTACAGCTTTTCTTTTTGGGGGGATGAAAATGTCCTGGAATTACTAGTGATGATGGCACAGCCTTGTGGACACGCTAGAGACCGCTGGACTGCGCCGTGACTTCTGTGGTCTGTGACTTGGGTCTCAATTACATGCAATGAAGTGAAAAAGAATAAGGCCGGAGGCATCACAATCCCAGAGTTCAAGCTGTACCACAAAGCTGCAGTCATCAAAACAGTGTGGTATGGCCGCAACAACAGACACACAGATCAATGGAACACAATGGAAAACCCAGAAATAAACCCACGATTATATGATCAATTAATCTCTGGCAATGGAAGCAAGAATATGCAATGGGAAAAAGAAAGTCTCTTCAACAAATGGTATTGGGAAAATTGGACAGCCACATGCAAAAGAATGAAACTGGACCACTTTCTCACACCACACAGAGAAATAAAAATGTATTAAAGACCTAAATGTGAGACCATAAAAATCCTAGAGGAAAATAGACTGTAACTTCTCAGGCATCAGCCTTAGCAACATCTTTCTAGCTATCTCTCTTGACGCAAGGGAAACAAAAGCAAAAATAGGCTATCGGGATCACATCAGAAAAAGTTTTTGCACAACAGAGGAAACAATCAACAAAATACAAAGGTAACCTATTGAAATGGAGAAGGTATTCAAATGCCATGTCTGATACAGGGTTAGTGTCAAAATGTACAAAGAAACTTAGACATCTCAACACCCCAAAACAAAATAATCCGATAAAAATAGCCAGAAGACATGAACAGACATTTCTCTAAAGAAGACCTACAGACGGCTGACAGACACATGGAAAGATGCTCAACATCACTTGTCATGATGCAAAGGGAAATGCAAATGGAAACCACAATGAGATATTGCATCACACCTGTTAGGACGACTTTACAACACAAGAAGGAAAGTGTTGGTGAGGTTGTGAAGAAAAAGGAGCCCTCATGCACTGTTGGCAGGAATGCAAACTGGTGCAGCCATTCTAGAAAACAGTATGGAGGGCCCTCAAAAAATTAAAATAGAATTACCACATGATCCATTGATCACACTACTGGGCATTTACCCAAAGAAAAAGAAAACACTAATTTGAAAAGACATACACACCCCTGTGTTGATAGCAGCATTATTTACAATAGCAAAGATGTGGAAGCATCCCGAGTATCCATCCGCAGATGAATGGATAAGGAAGGTGTGGTGTATGTACAATGGAATATTATTTGGCCATAAAAAAGAATGAAATCTTGCTGTTTGCATCAACATGGATGGATCTAGAGAGTATGGTATCAAGTGAAATATGCCAGCCAGAGAAAGACAAATACCATATGATTTCTCGTATGTGGAATTTGAGAAACAAAACAAATGAACAAAGGAAAAGAGGCAAACCAAGAAACAGACCCTGAACTATAGACAACACACCAACCGTCTCCAGAGGGGAGGCGGGTGGGGGGATGGGTGAAACAGGTGATGGGTCATCAGAGCGCGCTTCTCATGATAAGCCCTGAGTCACGTAGAGATGGGCTGAACCACTAGACCGTACACCTGAAACTTGGAGAACACTGTATGCAAACTACCCTGGAACTGAGGATGAAAACAAAACAATTAAACGACGATCTCAAAAAGCTTTCTCAAAGTTGCTCACCCTGCCAGGAGTGATAAGATTCTCTATGCCGACCAAGTCCCGCTGCAGCTCTGTCAGCTTCTGGAGGTTTTCCAGCCGGGCGAGGCTGTGCTGGAGAGTGGAGGTCACCTCTGTGATGGCCTGGAGGGCATCTGCGGGGAGAGACCTCTCAGTACAAGTGCCCAGGCAGGTGGGCATGGGTGGGAAACCTCCCCGCCTTAGTGACAGGAACTGGCATTTTAAAAGTTTTAATTCAGGGAATGTTCTACTCCCGACTCCTCACAGGACCGCTATCCACGGTTTTCAGCAGGTGGCGCAGCAGGTGGGGGTCCCTGCAGACGACCCGGAACTGGGACTTACTCAGCCCAAACTGATGACTAGCAGACGCTCAGGCTCGGTAAAGGGAAAGAAAAATCTTGGTAAATAACACATTCTGGGCACAGCTGTGTTCTTTCGGGAGAATTACCTACTGTAGTTCAAAGGCTAAATAATTTGCATCTTGGGGCGCCTGGGTGGCTCAGTGGGTTAAGCCTCTGCCTTCAGCTCAGGTCATGATCTCAGGGTCCTGGGATCGAGCCCCACATCAGGCTCTGTGCTCAGCAGGGAACCTGCTTCCTCCTCTCTCCCTGCCTGCCTCTCTGCCTACTTGTGATCTCTCTGTCAAATAAATAAAATCTAAAAAAAAAAAAAAAAATTTGCATCTTTAAAACATTTGTACTTTTCTCCTTGACTGGGGGTGCTCATCTTACAGTTCCAGTCCGGACAGGAGGGTTCAGAATTAGAAAGGGAAACTCATTCACATGGAACACAGAGGCCGACACTGAGGGCGGTGTTCGTGGTCCTGACCAGGCTGCACTGTGATCAGCTTGCTGGAATCGCTCAGAGAGTCTGCTGTCTTCCCCCCAGGACCCCCACTGACACTTTGGCCACAGTGCCTGGTGGTCCCAAGAGGGGCCCCCTTGGCTCTGCCCCTACAGGTTGGCTGCTCCCAGTGGGGTGAGGACACCTGCCTCACGGCTTTAAGGGATAAAGTCGGGTAAGAAAGGACATGCTTTGGCAAGTTATTCCTCCATAAATGATGTGTGTGACACAGTGTGACAGAGTGAACTGCTGTAAGAGCCCCAGGGATGCTCCCACAGGGCCATAGGAAGATGTCCTGCCCGGGGGCAGCTCTGCGCACATTCCTGAGCTCCCGCCCCATCCAGCTTTGCCATCCTTCAGGGCCCCACTCAAGTCTGGACACAAGGTTGGGTGGAGACTTGCTTTGCTCCACTTGTCCAGTGAGGGCAGCCTCACCTGTGCCTGCCTCAGACAGCACCCCGTGCCCCTCACTCAGCCACTGCATGTGCAAGGCGTGAAGGGCCAGCAGGCTCAGTGGCCACCTGGGCTTGGACCATCGCTGTACTGGCCCTGGAAGCTGCTGGAAGCCAGGGATGCAGTTCCGACCTGGGGTGGACTGAGGCCCCTTGGCACCCCCATGCCTGGGTCTCCACAGAACCACAGTGCGGTTGGCAGATTGTCAACACGCTTGGCGCCAGGCCCCTGGCGGGCACCACCCTTGGGACACACTGACCGAAAGACAAAACAACAATGCATGGCCGCCTCGGCTATCCCCGGACCTAAGGGAGACACTTTCGTCCAACAGGTTCCAGCTTGAGCTTCCCCTGAGGCCTGTGCGTGGGAGAGCAGGTGGGACAGGGCCCCACTGAGCATGTCCCTCATTGGTGGCTCCCCTGGGGCTCTATGACAGCCTCGACAGGCCCTGCAGCAAACCCAACTAGGTGGCTGGCTTAGCAACGCTCGGGCATGTTCACCGTTTCCGCAGCACGTTCGGAAATGCGGCCTCACTGGGGTTCTGCGGCGGCCAGGTCCCGCACAGGAGGAACCCCCTGGGGTCAAGAGAGCCGGGCCTTCTCCCTTGCTCTGGCCTCCAGCACCCCCACCCCCGGTCCCCCGACTGCCCCGAGCACCCAGCACACGGCGGTGGGGCTTCAGACAGGCGCCGCACTTCAAGTTTCCCTCAAAAGGCCTGGAAGCATTTCTAACGATTTTTGTCCTTCCCCTCAGCAGAGAGAAAACACCTGCTTTCAGGATGCTGAGAAAGGAAGATGTCTTACAACCCATCCGAAAGCATCTTGTCTACACCCCTTTAGGACCAGGGGAGACCAGTGAGAAGGAGAAGCTGAGACATTGCTCATCTTCCCGTGACAGCCGTACACTTACTCGTAAAAACCTCCAGCACCAGACGGACACAACTAGAACCATCTGTAGGTTTCAGAGCTCAGGGTTTATGTTCCTCTGTCTCTTTAACACAAAAAATGACCAAGTCCATCTAGATCAGAAACTTCTAACAGGCCATCCTGACCCAAATGGTCACTCTAGAGCCAAGGCTTGGAGGACAGAAACATCCCCGGCAGCAGGTCACTCTGAGAGTGGCCCTGCACCCCCAGTATGCCGGGTTGGGGGGGCCCCTCAGAGCAAGAGTTGACCTTCCAAGGTGACAGGAGTCCCTGCCTACACCACAGATGTGCAGCCCAAACAGGCCGCCCCCCGCAGCTGCCCCCAACAACCTGCTGGAGCACAGCCGGTAGCAGAGACCGGCGCTGAGCACCCCAGGCCCAGCCAGGCTGAGCTGCACACCCTGTCCTCCCCACGGGCAGAGGCCCCAGCCCCGAAGCCCCAGCGGCCCCTGCCTGCGCGGCCGGGCGCCCCGCTCACCGCGGCAGTCAGTGTGGTCGGGGTGTGCCGGCCCGTAGTGTGCGCACAGGCGGCCCAGCAGCAGGCGGTAGTGCAGCAGGCGCTGGATGGGCTTCAGCAGGAAGGCGTTGAGGGGCAGGTAGCAGACCTTCTGGAGCTCGAACTCTCTGTATACTGCCTCGAGCTTCTTCAAGCGTTTGGTGGCCTTTTCCAGTTCTGTCAGAACTTCATCATGCCTTTGGAAGCAGCTGGTGAACCCCTGCGGAGGCACAAGAGGGGGGCCCATTAGGATAGGAACCGTGGACAAGGGGGGCCGCCAGATCGCCTGCCCAGCACGGGTGTCACCCACGAGCTGGAAGTCCCTGTGGGCAGAACAGGCAAGAAGGGCTCACTTGCAGCCAGGGACCACCCCGTGGGCTGGGGACACAGGGTTTCAGCTCCCTGCCGGGACAGATGAAGGGCTGAGGCCGGAACCTGCCTCAAAGGACCCGGTGGGCGGCGCTCGGCGGAGGGAGGAAAACTCTTACCCTGGCTCTGCCCTCGCAGAGGCTGCAGGCAGCAGGGTGGGGGTTTGCCCCCATCACCCGAGATGGAATCATCACTGCCAACGTCTTCACAGCCCAAGTCCAAGAACACACGTGTATGGATTCTGAGTCTTAGATATTAAACCCAACCAGTCCCTCCTTACCTCCTGGAAGGTTTTAACAGGACATCAATTTGTTTTCCTAATATCACTAAACATAATGTCGGTGGTGTGATAGCCCCAGGAAGACGGTGTGTAGTTTGATGTTTTGGGATAGATGGGAATGACTAACTTACCGCCTGGCTGAGAAAACCAAAACAAGGCTCCGGGTAAGAAAGGCGGCTCTGGGCAGGGCTACCTGAAGACACAGCTGAGGGACCCTGTGGGTCCCTTGGTCTCTAGGACTGGAACAGAGCCTATGCGTAAGTCGGGAGTCTGGCTGCATCAGGCAGAAGGGGCCACAGGCCTCGGCTGGAGGCGGCAGGCAGCCTGGTGAGTGGACATGAGGGCCTGGGGCCCAGAGACGTGCAAGTGGGATGGAGTCTCTGGGCAGGATGCCGCGAGGCCGCCCCAGGACGGACACCCAGTGGGGCAGGCCTGTCCCAGGTCTGTTTAGCCAGAGGAAGACTCCTGAACAGTGAAACCACAGCTGGCCTCGTTGTTTTCAACACCTGTGACAAGTGGTCCTGATGAGAGGACATCTTGCTTCTGCCACGTTGCTGACCTTGAGTCATTCTCTTTGTACTTTCTTTGGCAGTCTACCTGAGGAAGTCCTATCACCTCTGAGGAAAAAACCTGCATTATGAGCCAGCAGGTGTGTGGACACAACCCCCAACGCCGGCCTAGACAGGCTCTGCACATCCCACTGCAGGCTGCTGAGCTCAGCAAAGGAAGCAGCAGCTGCACACGGACTGGTCAGTGGGGGGCTGATGTCCCACTGCACCCTCGCGGGTGTCACCTGCAAGGACTTCCAGCTCGTAGGTGGAGTGGGTGCAGTAGGACAATGCAGGAAAAAACTGCTTTGAGGGGACACTGTCCTGAAGTGAATGTAGTCCTGAGGGGATGCTGCACTGAGGGGGATGCTGTCCTGAAGGATCCGCCGGCGTCAAGAGTGTCAGCCCATAGCACCTACACCTTCTCTTGCTGTCCTGTGGGGGAGGCCTGATGGTTTGCAGTCTTAATGGGAATGCAGTCCTGAGAAGAAAGGTATCCTGATGGGAACAGAAACCTGAGGGGAATGCTGAGCTGAAGGGAATGCTGTCCTGAAGGGGGCGCAGTCCTGGGGAGAAAACTGCTCTGAGGGGAACGCTGTCCTGAAGGGAATGCGGTCCCAAGAGGAATGTTGTACTGAGGGGGATGCTGTCCTGAGGAAATACTGCTCTGAAGGGAATGTTCTGCAGGGAACTCTGTGCTGAGGGGAATGCTGTCCTGAGGGGGACACTGTGCTGAGGGGAACATTGTCCTGAGGGGAATGTTGTTCTTGGAAGAATACTGTCATGAGTGGAATGCTGTCTTCGGGGAAATGCTATTGGGACGGGGAACCTGTCCTTAGAAGAAAACTGATCTGATGGTAAAACTGTGCTGAGGAGGACCCTGTACTGAGGAGAAAACTGCTCTAAAGGGAATGCTGACCCAGAGGGGATGCTATACTGGGGAGAAAACTGCTCTGAGGGGAATGCTGTCCTGAGGAAAAAACAGCTTTGAGGGGAACACTGTCCTGAAGGGAATGCAGTCCTGAGGGAACGCTGTATTGAGGGGGATGCTGTCCTGAAGGAATGCTGTCCTGAGGAGAAAACTGCTCTGAGAGGAATGCTACCCTGAGAAGAAAACTGCTCTGAGGGGAATGCTGTCCTGGAGGGAACTCTGATCTGAGAGGAATTCTGTCCTCAGGGGAATGGTGTCCTGGAGGGAACTCTGTCCTGAGGGGAATGCTGTCCTGAAGGAAATGCTGTCCTAGGGAGAAAACTGCCCTGAGGGGAATGTGGTCCTGAAGGGAATGGAATAATGTCCTGAGGGAGAGCTATCCTGAAGGCAGTGCTATCCTGCTATCCTAGCTTCCTAAGGGAGAAACTGTCCTGAAGGGAATGTGGTCCTGAGGAGAAAATTATTCTGAGGAGCATGTTGTCCTGGAGGGAACGCTGTCCTGGGGGGTATGCTGTCGTGAGGAGAAAAGTTCTCTGAGGGGAAAACTGTCCTAAAGGCAATGCTGTCCTGAGGGGAAAGCTGTCCTGGGGAGGAATGATGCCCTGAGGGGAAAACTGTCCTGGGGAGGAATGCTGCCCTGAGGAGGATGCTGTCCTGTGGGTGTCGCTGTCCTGGGGACAATGCTGAGGTTGCACTGTCAGTTGCTAGGGGTAGAGTCATCATAGCAACCCGCACTACCTTTAACTGATGCATGTTCCTGAGCAGGATGTCCCCGATTCGTTGATGACCGCCTGTGACATGGGTGTCAGAAGACCCTTCCCTGGAGTAGAAACGAACAAATATGGTCAAAACGTTGTTAAAGCTTGTGCACTCTACTCTGGTGGATGCTTGTGTGACTGGCTGTCCTAGTTAGAGGCAGAATGGCAGTGAGATGATTGAGGTGGAAGGCCCATATTTGACAGAAACAGTTAACATTTGATCATTCTCTAAAAGATGGTAATCGGCAAAAAAAGGGATCATCTACTTTTAACTTACATCTTTCATTCTCCTTTCTGGAATAGGATGAATAAAAGTGGCTGTTATAAGTTTACCCCTCCCCCAAGTTTAAAAAATATACTTCAATGAAACAATGGTTCTTGTGAATTAGTTTCTGAAGCTGGGAAGTTCCTGAGAACAGGGACAGGGTAGAGCTGTCCCACATGGGGGTCCAGTGCAGGGGCCGCCCATGTGTGAAGAGTGTTACCAGAGTGCCAGCCTCTGCTCCACCTCACGCAGGAAGCCTCTGTGGAACTCATAGATGGGGTCTATGTTGGAGAAGAGCAGGGTCATCAGGTCTGCGGGCATGGCATCCTCCTTGACCACAGCACTGCGGAACCACTGCAGGAAGAGTCAGGGTGACTGAGGGACCTTGCCCCTGAGGGTCTGAAGCCACAGGGACACCCAGCACTGACCCCAGAGTCCCCACTGGGACAGCCCAATCAGTACTACAGCTTATCCTCTCGGCTGACCACCCATTTTCACATTATAAGAAAACAATTCTGGGTGAAAAGCTTCAAGTGGATACTCCTAGTTTTAATAAAAACATTGGACGCAATATTCTGACCTTCAGTATGCTTTAAGGCAAATATATTTAACAGAACGTAAACATGTACGTCTCATGAAGGCCAAGAGCTCCTTCTCAGGAGGGATCGTCCAGCTCTGGTTAGATTTAGAAGGTATTAATGAAGACAAAGTAATAAAGGAACTTAGGTTTCATACCACAGTGAGAACTTCTAAATCCTTCAGGTATGTTCGTTCTGTAGCGAGAATCTCCTTGGCTATGAAATAGGCCTCATCTGCTGCCGTGCTCTGCAAGAAGCACAGAGCGCGTGAGCACGTGTCTGTCAGCCACGGCACTGAGGTTCACGGCTCCCGCTTCCTTCTGCTCCAGTTCACACTATCACGCGCTTTTCATCTCTAATTCTTGACCAGATTTCCTTCTGAGTAAAAATATAAACACAGTTGGATCTCCCTCACATGTTTTTCTCATTTTATGTTATTCCCTTTTTTTAAAAAAAAGATTTTATTTATTCATTCTGAGAGAGAGGCTGTGCACACACAAGGGGTGGGGACGGGGGCGGGGAGGCAGACGGAGGAGACTCCCCACTGAGCAGGGAGCCCGACACGGGGCTCGATTCCAGGACTCTGAGATTTCGACCTGAGCTGAAGGCAGACACTTAACCATGTGAGCTGCCCAGGAGCCCCTATGGTGATCTTTCTGAGGAAAAAAAAAAAAATCACTGTTCAAATATCAACATCTATTATTGAAGCTTATTACTGGTTTTGTGATCAAATTATTGTTCTGGTATCACTACCAGGGGTGTAGCTGGTGTAGACACATGCATGTGTATACATGCATATATGTGACTCTAAAAGATTAAGTCTAACTTCCAAACGTCATTAAAACTGCACACACAGTCCTAACTGTGCCCTACGTTAGAGCACTGGGCCAGCTAGCACACTTGGATGGTGGGGCCAGAGACGGGCCAGCCCTAGGAATTCTCAGCTCTCCATCAGGACCTCTGCCTGACGTTCAGATGCTGGCAGCCAAGTCAGGAGCGGGAACCTGGGCCCTACCAGCCCCAGCTCTTGGCATGCCAGCAGTGGACAGGCATCATGCTGCACCTGGGAAGGCCTGTGTCTTGGCCCCACAGGGCCCCTCCACAACCTGAACACCTCAGGGAGCTGCCTCTGTCAAAGTCCAGCTCAAAGGCCCCTCCTCTGTCCTTTCCCATCTGGTGGAGCGGTGGTTCTGTTCCATTCCTAGCATGCTCCCCTGTAGCTCCTCTGCCAGGCAGAGGACCTTAGGGTTGACTGTCTCTGAGGCCACCATGCACACATCCACAGAGCACGGGCCAGTCCCAAATAGGATCCCAAGACATACCCAGGAAGAGAGGTCCCTGCCCTGGAGCTGACAGTTACGGAAGTAAAAGCAGAAGGGGTTGGGCTGGAGGCCCAGCGGTGCAGGGTAGCCACAGCCCCTAGCAGAGGAGATGGGGCAGCCTGGTAGTGGGAAACAGGCTGGAGGTCAAGGATGAGGGCAGGCACAAGAGATAAGCGAGCTGGTTACTGGTGGGGAAGGCAGGGGGGTCCTCCAGGGTCTCTCAGAGCACAGTGGGTGTGCTGGGTCCCCAGGACAAGGTTGGCTGCCACACTGAGAGCAGCAGGGGAGGCTGGGGTTCAGCAGAAGGCCTCTGCACCATCTGGGCTCCACAGCCAGGCGGGACCCCAGACACAATCTCAAGGTCAATTCTGGTGTGGGTAGAGGTCCGAGGGACAGAGAAGGCAAGAGTGGACTGTTTTTAGGCCCAAACCAAGGGAAAAAGCTGCTATCCCTAAGGTAGCAGGTATGGGGAGGAAGGTCAAGGAGTCAGATTTGCGTGAGTCTGGGATGGACTTCAGATGTCAGCTGGAAGTTGACAGGGGAGGCGGGGCTGGAGGCTGATATTTGGGGGCCCACATCTTCCCTGTGCCCCCAGCTCCCAGGTGAAGTTTCCCAGAGGCTGCAGTGTTCTTGCAGTGGTGACACAGGTGTGTTCCTCCTGTGTGCCCTGGAGACCACAGCTATGGCTGTGTCCCCTCCCCCATACCAGGGATATTCCACGTGACCCACTCTTCCCATATAATCAACAGCCGCTCTGTCCTAGTGGCCAGGTGAGCCTACTCTGTGTTCTCACGATGCTGGGGTCCTGCTAGCATCTTGGAGCATCCACCCTTGGTCCCTGGAGCTCTGTCCCTCTCCCCACAGAGTGACAATCCTCAAGCTCTCCAGTTCTTTCTTTTTAGGTTTTGTGCTATTAAAACACGACTTTTTCAAATCCCAATTCACTTTACAAAAGTCACATCTCCTCTGGAGTTTGGTGTGCCCAGCAAGCTCTCTGGGGTCAGAGCCAGCCCCGAAAGACCCACGTTCATGGTCAGGAGGCTCGAGGCCCCCATGATACTGCACGTCCCTGTGCGCACATGCATGGTTGGCAAGCCAGCTTCCTAACTGCAGTCCCCTCAGGTCCCCAGTGGCACCTCAGCCCTGAGTGTATCCTGCAGAAACAGGGTCACCCTGAGGTTCTAGACCCACTCGTCTCCTGTCGGGGGTGAGGTGCCCTGAGAGAAATGCTCAGAAACACAGCCATGGCAGTGTCACTGAGGAGCTCACAACCAAGTCCCAGAGGCTCTCAGTTAGTGACAAGGGACACCAGGAGTGTAGTGGTCAGGTGTGCTCACAGATGGCCTGTGTATCCAGGGCAAAGACAACCTCCTTAGGGCACCTCTCAGGGGAGCTCCTCCCTGGGAGCCACCCGGCCGGCCGGCCAGGGAGTAAAGCAAGTTCCCTTAAGCTGGTGGCACCGTGGCCAGCAGCTGAGACCCATGCAGCACCTCAGCCTCCATACCTGCCGGCCATGGTTGGTCCTCACGGAGTCCTAGCGGAAAGAGGGGGATGTGGGACACACTGGTGCAGAGGATGCCAGGAGACCAGTGGGCATAGGCACTCCTGCCCAGGGGTCGGCACAAAGCCGAGCAGTAGATGTGCAAGGAAGGCCCACGGCACCAAGTTCCCCAAGCGGCCTGGCTTGCAGCAGGAACATGAAGCCTGCAGCTCTCAGCACTCGCTTGGGGGGCCGCCCCGGCCATCATCTGGGAGTCCACTGGCACCCACTGCCCCTTGGCTGCGCAGCCCCCAGCAGGTGGGTGGCATGCGGGGCTGGCAACCATGAGGCAGCACTGTTGGCAAGGAGAGGAGGCAGGAGCAGCTCTGGGTTGGGGGGCAGGTCCTGGAGTCCCAGTGTGCAGGTGCAGCCCCCCAGCATCCTGCTCTGAGGCCTGGTCTGGATGTGAATGCCATGGTCACCTACCATGACCCAGTGGTGACTCTCTGGTGTTACAGTCATTGCCCTACAGAACCATCTAAAGGACTATTTTTTGTAGTACAGAAAGGTATAAGTTAACATTTCGTTTTTTTTACACAGCTTTCTAGCCATTCTGTTTCTGCACTAAAGCAACAGTGAGCTAAACGGATGGACATTAGGTTTCAAAGTAAATAAAAACATCCTCAACCCAATCATCTTGCCACCAAAGAGAGTGTCCAAGGGACCATGTCTGCCCATCAGCTGGAGGAGGATGGAGGCCTGAGGGGTGGGCCTGCAGGCCCTGCACATGGAGCTGGGGTTCTGGGACCCCCACTCTTGCTGGGCCACCTTACATGCCAGCATGCCTTCTGACTCAGGGTCTGCTCTCTTGGAAGTGGGGCCCAGGGAGGAGTGTGTGCTCAGAGGGCTCACCAGTCCTCTCACTGGTCTACCCCACCACTCGGAAGCTCATGTGTCCCACGCACAGTGGCCCTTGGCTCGGCTCGCTCTCTGGGCACTTCAGGATGGAACCCATGGCATGACAAGGCATTCTTAGATGTCAGCTCTCCCACATGACAGGCGCTGTGAGGCAGGGTCCCACCCACTTATGGCCATCTTACTCCTCAGGGATCACTCCCCACATTCAGGGGGACAGATATCCCTGAGTTGCCACAGTCCATAGCCTATTATTTTAAGCATTCTCTTTCCCAAGCCTCCAAATGCCCGGCCTCTTTGTCCTTTCTTGTCCCTCCCACAGGCCTGCGTGCCCAGGCTACCTTGTCTGTGTCGCCACCACTCAGGTGTGGGGCACAGGCCAGGAGAGTGGGAATGGCCACACGATGGGTGCCACTGTCTCTGGCCATCACCTCATCTTGTGCTCAGGTGCTCTCACCTGCCGGCCTCTCAGCGTGTGCCCTCACTCCTATCCCCGACAACAGAGAGAAACCTGTGGGCACCACCTCAACTTCCTACCATAAACACACACCTCACACATCCCTCCTCCCCAGCTATAACACTCCCCAGTGCGGACCCCACCCCCAACCCACACCCTCTTTCAGAACCTACTCACCCATGAGCCCAACAAGATGGGGTCCCTGGTCACCCTCCCTTAGTACCCAAGCCTTCTCCTCCCAAATACACAATTATTCAAGAGAGTGCTTAACAAGGGAGGGAGGGCAGGAGGCTGAGGGCTCCCCAAGGCCTAGCCATTCCCTTACACCCCCACCCGAAACCCACAGGTGCCAGGAAGTGCTGTTAAATGAATAAGGGAGCCTGCTTTTGTGCAAAGGTAGCTGAGATGTCCCAGGTGACATGTGGCTTTCAAGACAGATTTCACTGGGGGAGCCAGCAACCCCTGCGCAGCTTCCTGCCCGCTCCAGCTTCCCTGCAAACCAGGCCCACCAGCTTCCCTGCACACCAGGCCCACCAGCAGCAAGTTTTCTGCTGAGGCAGTGCCCACCTTGTGTTTCGGCTGCTCCTCGCTGTCCGTCCCGGCTCCGCCAGCGTGGCTAAGGACAGGGCTCAGGAGGGGGGACAAGCCCTGCCCAGCTGGGCCCAGGGTCACCTGAGACACAGGGCTCAGGCTCAGTGGGCTCTTCCGAGTGGTGGGAGAAGGCTGAGGACTCTCCATTGAAAGGCCTGGAATTGAACGGGGCAGGGGATGGAGCAAGAAATGAGAAAGGGCTGCCACGCTGGCCAGACAGCAGTTGTCAGCAAGCTTTAGCCCACACTAGCTTAATGCTACCACCAGGCACCTTCTGGGAGGTGTGTAAACAAAGCCTCGGTCACATGCAGTTGTCGCTGTGACACAGTGAGATGCAAGCAGCTTGGCGGCTGGCCAATCCAGTTCCAGAGACCAACCGCCGGCGGTTCGGACACCCAGGGCTCAGCATGTCTAGGGGAGAATCTCCTCTGCTCCACACGAGATAGAACCGTGATAAAAATAAGCAGCACAAAGAGTTCCGAGCAGAAGGCGCCATCCGAGAGGGGCACCTTTCATGCATGCTCAACGAAAGGCAGACTGCGGAGGCTGCGCACGAGGGCTGGGTGACAGCTGGGTGAACACATCTGTGCTCGAAGGACACACTTGTAACTCACGAAAAAACTGCATCAATGGAAACTTCCCATACTGTTTTCTACTTTGGATTTTTCACAAACAAGGATGTCGTATTGGTTTTCTTGAATCATACCACAAAACCAGTACTTTCTTCTTAAAACAAAGTTTGCTTTTGACTAAGCAGAAGCCGAAATTCTGGCCTAGTTCTAAGGCGGCTGCTGATGAGGCGGACTCTGCCACACATTTCGTACTAAAGGGAGTTTCGTATCAAGAATTACGTCTCAAAAGGTTTTGTCTAATGTTTTCTACAGGACATCAGTAACTGTTCAATGCCAAGTCTTAAATATATCTTTATAGCAGAGTTTTATATACGAAATTAACCAACTTAGAAGCTATTTGTAACAGAAATTGACCTTAGGCTTATAATTGTACAGCCATTCCAACACCACAGCTCCTGAGATTTCTGCCTGCCACTGAGTGCGTGAACACAGTAGTAACTGGCCCAGGACTCCCGGAGCCTCCCCTCCCACCCACCGCTGGCTTCAGAGCACGATACTCTTATACCCTAGTCACACTTCAAACTCAAGTCACCTACAGAGACAGTTTATAAAACCCAAACTTGGCTTCTTTGGCCTAAAACCTGTACATGGGCAGGCAGGCAGGTTAGCGCATAGGGGCTCCTTGGAGGACACCGCTGGGCCGAGCGCCAGCTCCCTGGGCAGGCACAGGCCCCCATGCCAGCCACCCCACAGCCTGGCCAGCGGGCTGCAGGGAGGGTCCTTGTTTTCACATTGACAAATATGGAGCTCTGGAAGGCTGCATTGAGCTGTCAGGGGTCCTGCCCAGGGGTTTCTGGGAGTGAGCTAGCAATGCAATGATGACAGAGTTTTCCTGTGGGATTTCTCACCACTACACACTCACTGAAGTGCAAACCTGGACAATGTTGAGTATGAAATTATTAACAACCAGTTTATTAGAAGTTGCTTTTATTACACAGGTTAAGATATGCTAAGCAACCTAAAATCACATGGAATTCCTTTGTTTCCCCAGACCACACAGAGTGCGGAAGCCAAGGGCTCTGCTGGTCCCTGCAGTGTGGAGGACCCCCTGTGTGGGGAAGGGGCGGATTTCCAAAGACGAGCTACTTATGATTCATACTCCAAAACCCTTTTGGTCCCGAATAGGCCCAGAATTGTGTAATGAGATACTTTTGTACACGGAGAATTCAGAAAAAAGTTCAGAAGCTACTACCAACAGATCTTATTTTTCAACTGTACCAAAGTGTGAGAGCCCGTGTCTCACACTTACTGGTTACAAAAATAGGCTAAGCTCAGTGCTCCACTCTGTCCCCCAGTGCCTCACATAGCATCTCCCTTGAAGATGGGCAGTCCTACTGCAAGTTAATAGTGGACAGTTCCCTAAAAAGTGGATACAGACTTGACTTCATATTTAAAGAATAGAAGGTGGAGCTCGAGGAGGTGGTCCCCACGGAAGTGTCGGGAATGGGCTCCGGGGGCTGTGGGGCCCGGCAAACAGGGCAGGGTCAGGATGCGCTCATTGGGCCACTGAATTAGAGAATGCAACTTCCGATAAATGGCCCTTGGTGATGAACTTGTGAAAGGAGCTGCCCCTGCAGGAGAGACTGCTCATTTGGAAAAAACTATTGTGCTTCTAGGGAAGTTCAAAGTTATCTTTGATATGATCACTGCAGACATTGACTCATAATTTAGTGAACAGATTAAAAAGTACCACAAACTGCCATTAAACATTTGTTTTTATTAAATCTGTCAGCTACAGCAAAACGTTATAAATCACGTATACTTCACATTACGTCAACCCAGATCCTACCAGACAAAGTAAAAGTGTGGGGAGATGAGCTTTCAAGCCAGTGGCACAGGCACGCAGCCCATCTGCACTCGAGGCTGTTTGGAGGGTGCACCCATGGCTCCAGGCCCGATCCTGTGTGGGTCAGCCTTAACACCACGTGTGTGAAGTTCCCTATGCACGCGCTCCACCCGGAGAACACAGGCACGGGGCATGGCTCTGCAGGGTGCACGCCGGGAGAGGCAGAAGCCAAGGTGCTTGAGGCCGGCAGCTCTGCACCGTGTGCCGGTGGGTGTGCAAAGGCACTACCGTTAGAAACTCCCTGCCACAGGGAACCTCATCAACACTGACAGTGCACACCAGAATGCGGGTCTTAGGGTTTTTTTTTAAATGCTGAATGTCGTTTTAGATACCACAGAGTACATTTAGCCTTAACTGCCATGGAAAGAATCTTAAACATTTGTAAAAACAGACTCCTGTGTCCAAGGTCCTCCACCAAAAAATTGCAAGAATATTTTTCTGAATTACTAGAGTCCCTCCCATCGAATCCACTTAGACACGAGGGGGTGCTCTGCCGTTCCACTGCAGCATCAAGAATGACTGATTCCTTTACTTGTGCTCCAGGGACTTTTGGAAATTCTTCAATTTCCAGCATCAAATTATTTGAAACTGATAGATACAGACAGTAGTTACATTCTACTGAACTCCACATTCCTGCTGGAGGGGGACCACGCCATCCAACCTGTGGTTCAAGACAGGTCCTGTACTCAAAGGGGCAAGTTAGGTTTGATCATCTTCAAGGACATACATTTAAAACATTTAAAACTGTCAACAGTAAGTAACTCTGACAGGTGATTTTATTTTAAAAAATTTCTAAGTATTTGTTTTATAATTTTTGAAACATCATTTTAAAAAGCACAGTATTATCCTTCCATGTTCCTCTTCACTTTATTCACCTATGTGGTGAAAGATCAATATCAGAATTAGAGCAAAACTTAAGCTTATTTTCATTTCATACCATTAAATTCTTTTTCAGAACTCTGTAATAAACAATCTTGAAAATTTTGCCTGAGGTGGAAGGAGAATTGGCTTTGGTTTGGAAAATTCAGGCTCAAGTCTGAAGGTTAACATGACAGTAGGAGTAAGATCCAGAAAACTCCCTCTTTGGCTTGAACAATGAATGGGTCGTTAATTTTGTAAGATGAAAAAACTAAACTGTACCAAGAACCCAAGTAAATGCGAGCTTAACAAACTGGCAGAAAACTAATTCTGGCTCCACTTTTGGACTAGGATGTTGCAAGTCCCTTTTACCCAAAATCTGGCTCAAAAATAAAAGCAGGAGGAAGAAAAATGGCTGGTATGCAGGAGTACAAATATTAGTTCCTCTCACTGTCATTGTAGGCCTCCTCTGCCTCATCTCTGCCACTTGACAAATGGCAGAGCACGGTCTGACCTGTGCTGTACCCTTTCCATGGCGCTGGGGGGCTCACCCATGGCCACACCCACAAGGCTGTGAGCAGGTGCCTGGCACACAGAGGTCTTGGGGTTTGCGTATGGCTGGGGTGACCCTAAGTTCAGAGGGTGATGTCAATACACATGGTGCCCCCAAGAAGCACTTTCAGTCTTTCCTTGTTAAGGAATAAACAAGACTCCCTGTTAAGAAAATATGTGTTCTAGCCTACAACACAGTCACACTTTGGGGCATCTGTCCAGATCAGCACCTGCAGGTGTTGGAGTCCCCTGCGTGTGGGTTCTATCAGAGGACACAGCTTGTCTACAGGTCTCTGACTGCCGGTGCAACAAGAGCAAGGTACCCCACATGAACTATCCCGAGAAACCAAAGAGCCTGCAGATGATGCTTGTCAGGAAAGAAACGTAACCTGGGTTAATGTAATTAAAAAATAAGAGCCATACAGTTTTTACTCTCGTAACCAGTCAACCCAGAGACGGGATGGAAAAAAGAAATGCTTTTGAGCAGTTTCTCGAAATCTGGTTTTGGGAATAAAATACCTCCTTGGGGAACCATTCATGTCACCAGTTCACCCCGAGTGGGGCCACCGGGCAGGGAGCAGGGCCCATGTTGTCGTGGGAGGGAATGGACATGCCCGTGATGCACTATATCCCCCAAGTGGGGAAGTGACCACCTGTGAAGGGTTCTGGGGAGTCTATGCTGACAGCGCCCTGCTTTGGAGTGCGGCAGGACAAAGACACCAAGCTCCAGGAGGAACACACTGCCAGCTGTGTCCTGCCCTGGGTGCTGGGCACCGTGAGCCCCCAGAGGAGACCAGCACCTGCTGCCAGGAGCGCCCAGAGAGGCCATGAGCCCTCCCCCACAAGGCTGGCTACAGCCACTGACCAGAAAGCGGGGCATATCCACCATGCTCCAAGGCCTGAGTGGGGCTGGGCAAGTGTGGAGGCAGCAAAAGCTTGCATTGCCCAAGCGGGAAACTCGAGTTCAGAACTGGGGTGAAGACCTGGTCAGAATGTGAGCAGCTGCTATGCTTTGGGTCAGAGATTTTGTAGGGTAGACTCTAGCTGATGGGGTGGGCGGGAGGAGAAGGGGAACAGTGTTCTCACCTTCAGAATTAAGAAGCCAACAGCAAGTGTTCTGTGCACCCTATGAGCTTAAGGACCCCGTGTTTGTCCCCAACACCGCGAACAGCGCCGTCACGGGCTACCACCTCAAGGGCATGGTGTTGGGCCAGAGGAACAGAACACGGCACCCGAGTCTGCATCTGCACACTGGCCACGCCTGTCG